AACCTCAACTCCTTCATTTGCAGGACACAGAAAACAAGAATACTCACAGGAAGGTTACCAAGGTCCTAGGAGATACCCAGCAGACTGACTCTCGTTAGCAAGGGTCCAATCAGTGTCTATTCACATGGACCTGAACTGACATTACATAACGTGACCCTCCCCAGGATTAGCCACTCCATGTGTATAAGGAAGGACATGTCTTTGTTCCTGAAACAGTCTCTCTAGACATATGCTCGGCCACTGTGGAAAGCTCTGCAGTCTACCACTATTCCCCACTTAATCCTCACCATAATAATGCAGTACAGATGCGATTGCCGTTCCCCTCCCACCCCGCCACGACAGATGAGGAAACCGAGGGTAGAGGTTAAATGAGACAAGGGCTTTCTCTCCACTATCCCACCATGTAAACACACTGCCTTCTCATTTCAACAAGTTCTATTTTCTCCAGAATCAAAAGGTTGTTACTTGGTCACATAGTTAAGGAGAGACATGCCTAGAAGGGAAACGGAGTGGAGAAAACAGGCATAGCCATACACACATAAAGTTACCTTAGTTTTCTATAAATAAAATCTGTTAATACTATGACAACTGAGGTCTTTGTTTTTGTATCGAGGAGGGATTCAACTACACATTTCAGATCCAAACATGTGTTGATGTGTTGGCAGAAAAAGTAGGACAAGGGGGGAGTCGTTCCTTGGCCCCGTCATTAGCGCCCAGGCCCAGGGAGGGGCAGGGCGGTGCTCCTTGTTCAGAGTCCCTTCCTCCTGGCGAGGGCAGGAGACAGCGGAGGGGCTGCCGTGCCCACCTAATCAAGGGCCCCTCTGTCAGGCTGGTACATTAGTGGCTGCCACCACCCTGCTCCTCAAACCTGGCAGAGCCCTCAGGACTCTGAGTTGGCAGAAGAGCAGCACGTGCCACCTGCCTGTGATCCCCGGCCCCTTCCCATCTGTAGGCAGGCAGAGTCAGCCCTGTCCTTGAACCTCCAGCTTCATTCTATCCCAGCACCTGACATCATGGGCCCTCCACAGGGAGAGGCCGGAACCAGGGCAGCAGTTCGGAAAGGGACAGCGTGAACTGGGTGGCCTGTGAAGCGAGAAGGGGACAGAGTGCACAAGGGACCCGGGAGCTGCCAACACAGAGGGGAAATAAAAGGAAGTCCTTGTTCCCAGGCCTCCGGAGCGCCTGGCCTTGATCCTGCCTGTGGGACACTCTGCAGGGTGGAAAGGACAGGCCTCTGGGCTTGGGCTCAAGTCCTGGCTCTGTCACGTCTTAGTGGCACAGTCCCCATGAGCCCCTTGCACTCACTGAGCCTGTTTCCTCGAATGTGACATGGGGATGAGAATACCTACCTCATAAAATTTTTAAGAGGCTCAAGAAGCCGCCCTTGAACCCAGTCTGAACTGGGTCCCCAGCCGTCACTCCTGGGCTGTTGTTTTCAAAGTAGGGCTATGGTTCAAGTGCTCTACCCCTTAACAGCTGTGGGGAGTTAACCCTGCTGTGCTTCAGTTTCCTCATCTGTAAAGTGGAGATCATTCTAGAATACCTTACAGATTACTCAAGAGTCAATGAGTTCATATATGCGAAGGATTAGAGCACTGGCCAATACACAGTAAACTGCACACGGGTGGAGCTGTTATTGTTTTCTGATGCTGTCATTCTTGAAATTTAACATCTGCACTAGACTGACGTGCATTCATTCTTATAAACACAGAGCACCTTTCACGTGTCTGACAGTGTTCCAAGCGCTGGGATGCAGTGATGACCAAGACAGACAAGGTCATAGCTCTCAGGAGGCTAAGTCCAGTGGGGGAGGCAGAAAAGAAACTATATACTTGAAAGAGACTGTCAAGTACTAACCAGTGCTATGGTAAGACTAAAAGAAGGTGAAGGATTCCCCCAGGCCTGACTGGCGTAAAGGAGCTAGCCATGTAAAGCGGGGGAAGAACGTTCTAGCAGAGGGAACAGTGATACAAAGGCCTTCTGAGTGCGGTGTGTCTGCAGACCAGGAAGGCCCTTGTGGCAGGAACACAGCAAGCAAGGCGGATGAATGGCCCCAAATGAGACCGGAAAGGAGGCAAGAGACAGATCATGCGTGGGCTTGAAGTCAGGCTAGGTGAGGTGGGAGGGCTGGTGGCATGACCTGGATTATATTTTAAATAGATCTGGACACCCTTTGGAGTCACCCCATTTTAGGCACTTTTCCAAACAGCCCACAAGTAAGTTACTAATATTGTCGTCCCTGTGTTACAGCTGTGGGAATCATGGCGTAGAGATTAAATAACTTCCCCTAAGGCATGAAGTTAGATGTGGGGAGCTGAGGTGCAAACCCAAGGAGCCTGACCCCAGAGCCTGCCCGCTCCTAACCACTAACCAACACTGTCTTAGACGGTGGAGTGAGGGCCAAGACCCTGTTTGTATTCCAGGTAGCCCAGGCCTGGTGCAGAATAAGCCCTCCATAAATGTCTGTTGAATGAACGATGTGAAGACACTCTGTACACTGAGAAATGCCATGTCAATATTCTTATTAAGAAATCCTTCAGGATTTAGAAATTCCAACCATCTCAAGTTCCTTTTTTTAATGCTGAACAGACTCTCCTGGGAAAGGGAACCCAGTGCAGTGAGGACATTTACTTGGTGCCCGAGGTCCTTTAACTAGAGGTACACAGCGGCTCCACAGACCTGGCCTGGGGCAGACCAGAGAGGTCAGCATCTGGTCCCTGAGGGCCTCTCTAAACTGAGAGAGGAAGTCCCTTTCCCATCTTCTTTCTTCCTCATCTATTTCATTGTCAGTGAATGAATATAGTCAAGCATTTTCCTCGTCCAGGTGGGAAAACATTTAAAATATGGGCGGTCTTGAAAAGGCCTGATATGCATAATGTTTCTGAATGGCTGGAGGTACTCATTCAAGACAAGAGAATGGCCCTGCACTTTCCCACCCGCTTAATCTCCTTGGAGTAATTTATTTGGGCGCCTCCTTCAGTCCCAGAGGGAGGCCTGTGGAACCCTCCCCATAAAATCCAGGACCTCCGGAGTCTCTTGCCCTAGGTCACAGTAAGGGGGGGGGGAGGCCACTGGGGGGCTAGGGAAGCCCCAGGCTGGGAGGGACTCCTAACATGACAGTCAGTTGGACCCTGGTACCCTTGCCACTCGATCCCTGGGGCTTCCTCTCACTTTGACAATGGAGCAAATCCCCCTTTAGTGACTCCCACTCCTCCCAATAACAAATAACACTTATTCTAACCACAGCCCACAGTGAGTGTTCTTCCATATATTTATAGCTTCCTTGCTCTTCACAAGTACCTGTGATGGGGGCACCCTGACTTACTTCATGTGACAAGTGAGAACATTGAGGCTCTTTAAAAAAGCAAGACAAGCCCTAGCTGGTTTGGCTCAGTGGATAGAGCGTCAGCCTGCGAACTGAGGGGTCCCGGGTTCGATTACGGTCAAGGGCACAGGCTCTGGTTGTGGGCTCCATCCGTGGTGGGGAGGTGCTGGAGGCAGCCAATCAATGATTCTCTCTCACTGATGTTTCTATCTCTCTCTTCCTCTCTGAAATCAATAAAAAAGATATATTAAAAAAAGAGAGAGAGACAAGCTTTAAACTCAGAGAACCCCAGATCCAACCTCAGATGCAAATCTGTGGGGCCCTGGCTGTGGGGGGCTGTTAGGTGCTTTATCTATCCAATCTTCTGGGCCCTGGCTTTATACCCATTTTCTGGATGTGAAAACTGAGCTGGGTGACCGCAACTGACCCGAGTCACAGGGCCAGAACTCAAATCTGGCTGTCACCCAAGGACATCCCTCTCCAGAGTGCCCAGGGCTGGGGCCCAGATGGGGTGGGTGGAGGGGGTGGGCGGAGCCTGCTTTATCGCCAGGGCCACCTCTCCGGGACCAAGAAACGTGGTCTTGCTGTCTCTCTGTAACTCCTTTGAGAACTTTCCCGTCGGTGGTGGGCGCGCGCCGGCGTGGACCTGGGCACGGCTTTGTCTCGCCCACCTGAGGGGCAGGGCCGGGCGGTGTCTAGGCGCCGCCCTGCCTCCATCTGCTGCAGCGGCAGCAGCGCCAGCTCCAGGCTCAAGCCTGTGACCACACCGTAACCCGAGTCCACAGCCGCCTCCATCTTACATCTGGGAACCCTGACACCCCTGACACCCCAACCCCCGTCCTTACAAACACTTCATGGAGCGCCCAGGCTTCCCATCCCCACCCCCCGTCCTCCTCATCCCCTCCCTAAACTGCCAGCTCCAAGATCCCAAGTGGGCGCAGGACGCAAAGTCAGAGATCTGGACACAGCAGTTCCAGGTCCCGTCCCTCTGCGCCCGGGGCAGGAGCGGGGCAGGAGCGGGGCTGGGGAATTCCCTCTCATCTGGGCAAACCACAGGCTTGGGGGAGGGGTGCGCGGCGGGCGCCGCAGCCGGACAGAACCCGCTCAGAAGCTCAGAGAGGAGCCATGGAAGCACAGGGGATAGGCGTGCCCGAGTGTGCGTGTATGTGTGCGCGCGTGTGTGTGTGTGTGTGTGTGTGTGTGTGCGCGCGCGCGCACGCGCGCGTGCGTTCTTTATATCCGGGGTGTAATTCCGCAAAGAAGGTCCAGGAGATGGGGCACCGCTAGTGTGGACAGAGGCTTTGTGTCCAAACACGCGGCGCAGGGAATAACCCGGGGAGCGGGTGGGGTTCGCCAGGCGGGGGCAACTGGAAGCCTCGTGTCCGCGCATCGGGAGGGAACGGGATTCCTCACCCGGACAGGGCGAGTGGGTGTAGGAAGCTCTGGACTCCGGATCCTGCGGGAGGGTTCGTTCGGGGCGGGCCGGGCCGGTGCGCGGTGCTTTGGGGTCGCGTCCCTGAAACAGCCCCCGGACGCCCGGC